TTTCATTCATTTGCATGGTTTTAGGAGTAATAATTGCCAAACTGTCAGACGGTATACAATGAGATGGTAGTCAGATAAGGAGAAGGTGAACAAATGAATATGCTGACATCCATAAAGATTGCACTGCCTAGGCAACGAACAAGTCTTTTTCAAACCATTTCCCTCAACCTTGCTTCATTAATTTCAACAACTGTAAATGGTTGTCCATTTATATGTGCCCTGCGATTAGCTGGTGACCATTTCAGGGTGTACATTGCCTTCCGCCAAAAACAGCTGGGATAGGCTCGTGCACGCGCGCGACCCTCCTGAGGATAATCGATTCACATAACGGAGGGAGGGAGGGATGGATGGATGGATGGATGGATGGATGGATGGATGGATGGATGGGGTACTTCCATCCTCCTCTCGGAGAAAAGAAAAAAAAAAAACAAAACAACCAAAAACAATCTTTTATCTGCATACTTGCAATGGTATGTCGGGTCGTGGGCTTTCCAGGATGTAGTAAGCCTAAATTGGCACTATCTCAGCATGGTTTAATTTAAAAAATGCAGCAGCTTAATATTGGATAGTTTTTAGACTGCTGAACATAAGCAGGTGCTGACAATCTACAAGACGTCTTGAATTTTCTATTCATCTCCTAAAACACTTCTAAAAGGAACATCCGAGGGCATGCAGAAAAGGAGCATTGCTACAGCTGAGCTTAAGAACCCTCTCAGCCACCCCTTGACAAACCAGGGCTTCCATTCGATATGTCAGTGATCGGTGGGGACACAGTGCCCCCTAGAGGCAAATTGAGCAAGCACTGATTAAGTCACACTGCTGCTGCATGCAATTGCAGAGGATTGATGCTCCAAGAAGAAATATATTTATTTAGTGAGTTAGTTAGTTATTTGGTTGTTTTCAAAACATGCTCTGCATCAAACATGTACAACATGCTCCTGACATTAAGTGACATTTTGATGTGAAATGTGTCATACTAAATCTAGTGCCAGTTTAGAAAATAGTCACTTTTTTTCTGGCTCCAGGAAAGACAATTAACAGACAATATATCCAATTTCCACTTCATAATCACCTAAAAGTACTTGGTCGTAGATGCCCACATTGTATCCCACCAAGCACCCTCTAACCATTTATGATACTGCATGTACAATATATGTCCTATAAAAATTATTTTAAGATTGACTTTCCGCCCACTATTGTATGATTGCCAGTTCTGCATAAAAACAAAGGCATTTACTGCTCGATTAAACCGGGAACATGAATAATTATATCTTGTGATCAAAATCACTGCCGGTCAGAACTATCTTTCAATGTCTTCCTCTATCTTTTCTTTCGTCGCTTTTTTTTTTTTTTTTGCAGTTTTCAGTGCAAGTCTGTAAATACACCGTCAGTGAGAATGAATGGAATTTAGGAAACCATTTTTTTTAATGGATGCATATAGATTTTTCTCCGTATTCACTGACTGGCCACAACTTGATGACTCCACAATCTTCACCAAAAGTTCCATTAAAAACTCTTCCTCACCAAACATAGTGTTCCTCAAACATGGTGGAACATGGAAAATTAGAGGCACAGGACGGGCCAGAATGAGTTTCAACAAATAACAAAAAGTGAATTTTCTTTTTTCTTTGCGAACTCACCCTTATTCTTTGTGGCCGCCTGTTTGTCTCTGCTGTACGGCCCGTTGTTCCCTAAAAAGCACATCCTGTTTCTCACATAACACCAACGAAAAAAAAGTGGATTTCCGATCATTCCCGTAGCTGTGTTGAAATGTGATTACCAGTATCTTTACTATAGCATTTAACATCTCTGAAAGTAGCAGTTGCCTGTTTCAGCTTCTCCTTTCCGACATGCATCCCAACAGCAAACAAACAAAGCAGAATATGCGAATCCTATAAGACGACAAATACTGTAAGTAAGGAAATTGCTCAGACTGCAAGGAAGAACACGACACGAGACGCAAATATTACAAAACATAACTGAAGGCAGATTTTACACAGTATGCAAATAATTAGGGAGGGGGTTACCGCGAAGTGGGACATTTCATTTTACTGTGGAATACATTTGTATTCTCCTTATTACACAGCTGAAGCTGCTCCGAGGCAGTGTGGATATGCTTTGTTTTTGCAAATTTGTATGGCATGTTTTAACTTGGTCTGGTTGTTGTATGACTGAGCGCAAAATACTCCAGCTGGTGTGTTACTCATGATCACTTTTGTGAAAAGATTGAGCCCCATTAACTGGACCTAAAACAGGACCCAATGTAGCCCTCCACCTGGGTCATTTCACTGTTCAGCAGAGCAGCAAGTTCTGTGAAAGCAGCAGCATTGACCGTCATTCATCGTGTGACAGTGGAACAACCACAAATGTGTGTTGTCATTTAGCTTGGAGCCAAATGAGTTTGAGTTTTTTTTTTTGTGAATACGCAGGAATAGAGCCACTGAAACACTGCCTCTGATGACAGTTAATCACAGGGCACAAATATCCCCCCCTTAAAAAAAAAAAAAAAAAAAAAAAAACAAACATGGAGGCACACGAAGAACATCCAAACTCCATTCTGAGATGCTCCAACAAAGAACCTTGATCTCCTGCCTCTGTGGCAGTGGGGCTGACGACTATTTCAACAAGCTGCCTAAAAGTCACCAAAGGTGAAGCAAATGACAGTGAAAAGACCTAACGTTGTGAGACATTTGCACATTCCGAGGCAGTGTGGATATGCTTTGTTTTTGCAAATTTGCATGACATGTTTTAACTTGGTCTGGTTTATGCAAAACTTGTGTCACAAGACTTGGTTGAAGAACCAAGCAATAGTAATCAGTGGGTCTAGAGCAGTTTGAGAAAGAAAAAAAAGCAAAGAAAAGAAAAGTACAAAAAAGAAAGAATGTCTCATTTAGACAGTGGAGTCGGTCTAAGGTGTGACCGCAGACACCGGAGCCCGATATTGTCTTATGACTTTCAACATGTAAGAGGCTTTAGAAGAGCCATCAGCCAAACAGAATTAAGGGAGCATTAAAAACTCAATGACTCTAATAATTAAACTTTAACAGAGGACATAAAGAAAAACCGACACCCTCTAAAAGCTGTCAGCAACCACTATTACAGTGGAACCGCAAGGGCTCATAAAATTATGAACCTTTGTAATTCATTTTACACTGTTGTTTTGACTAAGAACTTTAATACACCCTGGAACTCCTATATATGAACCATTTTCACTTTTTCTTTCCATAGTTTGGTTGGTCCTGCGACTTGTATAACAAGAGCACGGACTTCATAAATGTAATTGTTCCTCATCCATTGTTCATATTTTGGGTTTGAGTCAGTTCATTGCAGGTTGGTTCACAGAAATAAAGCCACAATTGCCAAAGAAAATGTTTTGGTTCTGAGCTTATCGTGGAGTAATGAACATTGATTCCACTGTTACCGAGTTGTGTGTCACGCATAATCTTTAGTAGATCAGAAAGTCTTTGTTATTGGGTAAAAACCTTGTATGTCTATTAACTAAAGCATTTTTGAGTATTTGTCAACGAAAACCTTTTTGACTTTTCGTTGACTAAAACTATCATGAATCGGAATGACTAAAATGTGAGAAACTCAAAAGCATTTTTTCCTAAAAGACTAAATCTAAAACGGCTGCCAAAAAACACCATTAATAGTCCAGCTGTTCAAGTTTCTAGAGTTTCAATACTTTTGTAGTCACATCTGACAGCACAAGCTATGGTTTGCAGATTTCTTTGTTCAGTTATAAGTAAGGAGAAGGGTAGAAAACAATTTCTAAGTTCGGAATATGTCATAAATATGTCACTGAAGGAAGTTATCATCAAGCGAAGAAAATATGGCAAAATAGTGACATTACCAAGAACTTGATGTGCCTCTAAAACGTGTTCAAGTCCAAGAGGCAGACAGGAATATTGAAGGAACTACAGGAAATTCTGCCAACTAATTGCGCATGTGCAAAATGAAGTATAAATATTTCAGACTTTCATAAGTGAAGGTCTGAAATATCCTCCAAAAATATCAAGCTGTTAATGTTTTGTAAAAAGAATGGTGAGAATAAGTGGCTAAAAAAGTGAATGATGTTTATTAATATGTTTCCTATTGCATGTTTGTATTGCCTTGAATTAAAACAAATGGAAAAGACCAACTTACTTTTCTTATAAATCATACTAAGATTTGAGTCTGGATCACTTGACATCAAATTAGACTTGATGCACCCTGTGAACTACAATGAGGTGGTCCCCTGGATTATAGAATGTAAAAGTAGACATTGAATACATTGTTACATAGCAACAAGGTTTATATATATATATATATATATATATATATATATATATAAATAAATAAAAGCACAAGAGTGTAAAGTCTGACGCACCATGTAGGTTGTGCGCAGACAAACTTTAGAACATTGCATAATTTTGTGTACTGCCTACAAAAAAAAAAAAGCAAATCTGAAAAGGTTTTTCCTTCTCATCTGCCATTACCTAACTTCCAACTGCCAAGGTATTTCACTAAGTGTAAGAGATCCTACCACAGGCATACACAAAAAGGTGTTGTAGTCTGTACAAATAAAAACGCCAATACTGTATACATTCAATCGTCACACCAAGCTAGGGACGTTTTGGCTTTTGGACGAAATCGCAGGATGAATTTATTGGGAAACATAAACTGACTTTTTCTGAACTTTTGTTTCTAATCAGTGGATTAAACACTGATTGTGTATTTCTCACCATTGAAGTTGGTGGAAAACAGCCATTTAATTTTTATTTTTTGTCAGCTGAAATACTAAATCGCTGTTGTGCTTAGGCCACTGCACTAAGAGCATTTCTTTGCCACTATTTGATGTCACCTTGTTGACAGGGAGTCTCAATTTCAACAAAATTGGTGCTTTGTCACACCCAATACTTCGATTTTCATTAACAGAATACGATAGCCACGACATGTTGATAAATAAGGCATCTTCGGCACCAACAACCTCTTAATAAGACCAAAGGCAAAGTACTTACCAGCATTGACAATGGCATCCAACTCCAGGACAGTTATGTCTCCTTTGTAGAGAGAAACTTTCTCACTGAGACCACCTGTGCCTGTCAAAACGTTCCCATCTTCTCTTCCGTCAGCTAAATGGAAAAATAAAAATAGTAAACTCACCACAATATATTAGGATGAGTTCAGATGGATGTAATTTAATCATTGATTCAATATAATGTTTCAAAATATAAAATCAAGTGTACAGCTTTGTGTGGTATTTATAATGGAATATTGTTGAGCACAAACATTGAAAAAAACGTAATTCAATTATGGCCCTTCCAACATTGATGATTGTTCTTACCTTTATGTACTCTTACCATTTACAGCAGTGGCAAACAAACAATGGTTTTCTTAACAATATATATATATATATATATATATATATGTGAATCAGTAGACCAAGTCATTCTACTCACCTGTAATTCAAATCAAAATAAATCTTAATTTTCAAATACAACGTTTAAGTGGACATTGCAAATTCCTGGATGTCACATTTTTACACAAACCCACAAGTCATGTTTTGTCCAAATTCATTAATGAATTACAAAATAAAAAACTTAATGCAGCATAAATAAAACAAATGTGACAGTTAAATATGACACATTCAACCACTGGTAACACAAAACACATGATGAGGATTAACGTCCTAATAAATCAATTAAATTCATTGCATCATCCAAGGAATACCGGGAAATAACTGGCTTTACCATCATTACGAAAGATATGAACAGTATTTTATTTTGTCACTGTAGAAAAGGCTACAAATTCCTCAGTATGTTAACCTTAGGGCTACTAATGTACAGTATGTACTTTGTTCTTGCGTGAAAAGCGAGTTCATGTAAGTCACGCATGCACACTGCCACAAATGGCTTGAGGAGACAGTCGGCCACACAACATGACGTCTGGGGCTTGCGTAAGCACGGTGTTGTGACTTTGTTTAGAAGTCTGCGGTGACGACCAGTAAATAGTGTCTGTAACGTTGCCATCACCAGCGTCGCTGAGCTGGACTGGGCTGCAACTGCACATCCAACCACAGCAGTTGAAATACACTCATTAATAATACCCTCTGATACTGAGAAGTCACTGTTTATCATACCGTCCACAGTTAGGGTTTTATTAAATAAAATGGAAACATGTCCAGAACCTTTCCCAACATTAAAAACAGGATCAAGTCCAAATTTTAAAAAAGCAACATTTTTCTGAGCTTAATTTATTAGATAAGGCTATTTTATTTGCTGCTGCTTTGTTTTGTGTACTCGCATAGTCTACTGCTATCTATGCACTGTTTTGCAAGCTAACAGCCAATCAGAGTGATCAATTGTCACAATTTGCATCGTGTGGTTGATGGCTCATTCATTCAAGTCATAGCTAAAAAGGACAATGAAATAAAAATGTCAAAATTCTTCACACAGTAAAATGCATCCGTGCTTTGACCAGAGACAATAAGTTATTTAACGTTATTTTTTTCACCCTTCTTTAGCTACAATTTAATGTTCTGTGACTGTATATAAAGGCAGGTCAAGATAGTTGGAGTCAGTATCCTATCGAAAAAAAAAGTCATAGGCTGGCTGGTCCAATTAAGCATTTTCCTCATACCCGTTCACCAGCAAGTATCTGACTGCACTGTAATGCAAAGTGTGATGCAGGAATTTGACCAGCAATGGTGTCTTCTCTTACAGTAGTTATCTTCTCTCCAGGTTGGAATCTTGTCCAGACTTATATAATCTTGACGACGATAGCCCTCTTTGCGTCGCTCATCGCGGTCCATGCGAAGAAGTCTCTCTATTAAAAGAAAGTGAAAGTATGATAAAAATGAACATGCCAGCCAATCCCGCTACAGACCAAGGACAATAATCTGTACAAATCTCACACACACACACACACACACACACACACACACACACACACACACACACACACACACACACACACACACACACCATTTTCACAAACATAAAATGCACAAAAAAGTCTTAAATTTCCTACAAAATGGACAGGGCACCTAATAATGTGTGTCGCCTTGTGTATGCACCAAGTTCCAAAATCTGTGAATGCTGTTGTGTGACTTCGATGAGGGCTCCGCCTGACTGACTAATGTTGTGCCGACATGCTGCTTATAGAGGAAAAGTGGACGTAACTGTGGAGAGCATGCGGACGTTAAAGTGGGAAGGGTGGGCGTAAAAGAGGATTCTAAAGGCACGCCCTTAGCAAGTGTATACAGTAATCTCTCGTTTATCGTAGTTAATGGGGACCAAAACCACCCGCGATAAATGAAAATCCGCGAAGTAGTGACCCCCCTTCATGTAGGTACATGTACATAATATTTATAAGGCCAAGTTTAATGGTATACATGCATGTAGAAGTAAATTTTGAAGTAATGAACATGACTTCATACTGTATACTAATAGATTTAAACATGTATAAGTTAGGTTAGTTTATGAATAACAAAATACAGTAAACAGAATTTTTTTTTTTTAAGTCCGCAAAAAGTCCGCAAACGGTCCGCGAGAAGCTGCGAAAGTCAGTAAAACAACAGTGAGTCACATAGAACAACATATACAGTACTGTACTACATGTAAATGATTTTTTTTTTTAAATGAATATGTTTGAAAAAATCTGCGATGCACTGAAGCCGCGATAAACGAACCGCGAAATAGCGAGGGAATCACTGTATAGTACGTGCATTGTGCAAAACTATGAAGAGACACGCTTACGAAGCACAGTTTGAACTGTAAGGCATTAATTACGTGGAAGACCATGATAATCAAGCAGCCGCAAGAGAATTCAAGATCAACGAATCCATGGTGCTTGGTGTTTTTGTTTTATGAAACGGCGCCCTGTATCAATCGGGCAAGGACGACCATCCTTGACACTCCACCTTTTAATACGGTGTGCCGTGTGTGTGTGTGTGTGTGTGTGTGCGTGCGATTGTGTGTGTGTGCGCGATTGTGTGTGTGTGTGTGTGTGTGCGATTGTGTGTGTGTGTGTGTGTGTGTGTGTGTGTGTGTGTGTGTGTGCGCGCGCACGATTGTCTGTGTGTGTATGTGTGTGTGTATGTGTGTACGTTTTCTGAAGCTGAGCCATGATTGGACGTTCCCAGACCCCTGAGGAACTGCTGTCATTCTCAGTCAACAGCAAGTGGCAAAATGGCCGCCCCTAAGATAGTTAAAAACGAGTCGATTTTGCTGCTTAACTCATATTCCATAAATACAATATTAATCATAGTGCCGTGTTTATACTAGTGAAGGCAGATAGAACATATTGTTAAGACATTTTTGGGGTCAATTTCTCCTTTAATAATGAAATCATTAAAATGATACACTGCACTGTACTATTTAATGACAGTCATGAATGTTCCTGTAACAAAACTTTATTTTCACTTCATTTTCAAGACCATGCGTACACAAGTTTTTTTAACTGTCAATATCAAGTAAATGTATAAATTAGCATGGCATGCATGAAGAGAGATAGGCCTTTGCAAATTATAATATTGCCCCTGAGAAGTTCAAGGGCACTTCAAAGGGGCTCAAGAAGAAACTAATATTGAGGCGATAACCCTATTGCCATAAAAGTATTGCCATACTTTTGGTTTCTATTATCTTTTTACATGCGTCTTTGCCATTTTTCTCCTTATTGCATTGGCCTAATGTATCCGTATAACTACATCCAGATGAGGGGGGCAACTAACGATTATTTTAATAAATTGATTAATTGGATGTTGTGTTTGTTTATGCCCTTTATTCAAAAACCTTTACCATACACCCTTGAAATAATGACACGCCACTAAGGTCATAGCAGCAAGTATTTCCAAATGCAAGCAAAAGACAAGGCCTGGTCTGGTTTGTCTGGTCCACTTTAGTGAATAATGTGAGTAGCATATATTGCATAAATCTATCCATCCATTTTCTTTTGTGTTTGTCCTCATTCAGGTCAAAGGTGAGACTGGTTGCCATCCAATAAAGGGCACATGTAGAGAATGATTCACCCTCACATTTAGGACAATATCAAGTCTTCAATTAACATAAGAAACATGTTTCTGGAATGTGGGAGGAAGACTGATGACCCAAAGCATGCAATCGAAACAAGAGAAGGCGGAGCCTCGATTCAAACCCCGAACCTCAGAACTAGGAAGCATTCCTGCAAACCACCAGCTGACCATGCTGCCCGGCACAAGTCAACATGCATCAATAAAAACGTCTATTTAGGTGGTCATAAAGTTTGCGTAATACTATTTTACCCGTCGACACAGGAGTACACACTTGGTTTGGACCAGTATTGACTTAGTAATCAATTGCACATGTGCTATACCTGCACCTACACCTGACAAGAGTAAATAACAATTAAGGTGTATAACATGTCAAGGTGCTGAGAATACACATTCTTGCAAATAATAAAGCATTTGTTGCCTCGCAGCGGCTGTGCTGTTTGGCTCAAGAAACCTTAGCACATGTGGATGTTAATGAGGACCACACGTCGCGTCGAAGCGCGCAACGACGTTACTCCGACAGGTGAATGACAAAGAAACCGGTCCCCTGGATCATGCAAGCTACATACCAAGTAGCCTGAGCAAGAAGAGACAATGTTGTTTCCAACGCGAAATACGCAATAACGGTAGCCAAGCAGGCGCATCCTCACAATGTGACTGACCACTTGGTGTGTGGGATTAGTGCAAATGCAAAGTAGTTTGGAGCCACACGGGGAAGGGATCGTTGGCCCATTTTTGAGCAAAATAAGAATCAACGCTGTCTGTCAGCCATGAAGTGCAAAATATTCCCATTCCCCCTCAAATCAAGCCTTACCTTTTTCAGTCTTCCAATCCTTTTTCTTTTTGCTCATGCTGCCGGAGTAATTTGTCTTCGAGTGGTTGTTTTTTGACTGTGACACCCCCAGACTCACTGCGAGCGGTGTTCCGGGGGATAAAATAGAAATACAAAGTCTAACAGCCTTGGGCTGCTGCTGCTCTCACCTGTGAATCTGTCAAATTTCTACGGCGCTCACTCGATTCAACCTACCGTGATTGCAGCGTGAATAGTGTGTACGATTAGAGACCATCTGAGTGGCTGGGAAGAACGGGGAAGTGGGTTTGTGGTTGGTTGGGCTCTTCGGTCAATCAAAATTCATCCACGCCCTGAAGATGTTCGATCGGTCATTTCTGATGGTCGAGGTTTATGGTTTGTTGTTCATGGTGGGGTTCAAGTCATTCAGAACAAATTCGGCGCAAAATGTGACAATTAATCCAAAACACGTTGTCTTAATTTGGTTGGTTCAATGAAATAGAATATGATGTAATTCGACTGCTAATTCAGTACTGAGGGATTAATAGGTCTTTGATAAGTACCACATCTCCATGGTAAAATGACTAACGAGTGCAATTTAAACTTGGTTACAACGAAGTTACAACGAACTACCGTTAGAACGTACAGATTGATTTTGTCCCTCGAGATATGTTGTAAGGAGGTTCGACTGTATATCTCTCAGGAGCAATCAAAAGATTGCTCCTTCACAAAGGCTTCACTTTGCCATATCCAATGCGGCTGCGGTGCAGACATTAACGATATAGGATCGTTGTATACATATATGTAGTATGTACAGTACTGTAAATGTTGTGTATAGTAATACTTGCCTGCAGTTGTCAGAAAAGGCGCCATTCAAGACTACCTGTATGTTGACTGCGAGCGACAGTCCTGCGCGAAGTGTACGTTCGCATTAAATACATGGAGCAAGGTAATGCAACCCTTATGCATCCTTAAATCTGAGGTTTAGCGTAGGGTCTGCACGTAGGGTAAGTGCAGGTGGGGGACTTTCCTGACTCACCCTTTCCTGAGATCAGTGAAATCCTGAGGAAATTTCATTCATTCATACTTTCCTCAACTTTTCACTTCGAAGTTTTTTTTTATTATGAAGAAAAAAAATATCACTGTGAACACTTCAACAGACAGAACCATACCTCAATTTAGAATATGCACCGCACTTGAAAGATGCACGTGCGGTACTTGCCCTTTCACTCAAAAAATAGTTTGTGTTCACCCCAGCCAAAAATCAAAAGTGTAATATTTTATTTATTTCTTAATTTATTTACCTCTCGTCTTGGATTTGGACACAGAATTTCCGAGGAATTGCCTAAATGATTTGTCCTGTAAGGTGCCGTTTTTTGAGCGGTGCCGCATGATCTTAGTGCAGAATTAAAACCAAACCGCAAGATGTCACTCTTGCAGTACATGTTCCCGTCAGGAACTTATCCTCAGTCACATTACTGTATATAGCAGTTCAAAGATGTTGAGGCAAATAGTTGAGGATTTTTACAAGTTTTTGGGGTGGCCAAAAGCTACAATATTGTATGTAAATACTATTTAAATAGAATAGTGTGTGGTGCATTGCATCATTTGGAGCGCTCATTGGAGTCACGTGATCCAGCACCTCTCTTGCACCGCTTCCTTAGCAACGCGTATCTGGACCCGGAAGTACTTGATGACGCTGCGGCTAACCGGCTAACGTGACAAGTGATAGGGAAGTCTGTCCGAGTTGCCAGTTTAAGTAGTTCAATTACCGTTGGTACGTGTTAAGGACATGTCATACAACTGTTGTTTTGCTGGTGGGAGACTAGTATAAGTTGTAAGTTGACGTTGTTTTGTTTGTATGTTGGCGAACTGTTAGCTCTCTGTTGCAACTCTTAAGCTTTCTTAGCAAGTTATTTTGACTGCAATGCGCCATCTTATTTACTAGTGGAACTGTTCTTAAGACGAACTGACCAAGCGTTACACTTTGAAAGTCGGCCACGTCGTTGCTGTAAAACTACGTCTCTCTCTCTCTCTCTCTCTCTCTCTCTCTCTCTCTCTCTCTGTATGTTATTTGAATGGCAGCTTCTGTTGGTTCAAAACCTGTCCTTTCAGCATTAATAACGCCTTTACAAATGCGCAAGTGCATTTTTGGAACATGTTGCTGGCATCAAATTCATGAGTGAATATTTGCAAAAAAACACAATAACATTTATCAGTTTGTGCATTAAGTATCTTGTCCTTCGAGTGTATCCAATTGAAAATTGGTTGAAAAGGATTTGCAAATCATTGTATTCTGTTTTAACACAACGTCCCAACTTCACTGGAATTGGGCCACGCACATATCAACACTACTGACTTTTGGAGCTGCCATAGTGTAACATTTGTATTGCCTTTTGCCTCAACAGGTGTACCTTCAGAATGTTTCCCTCACACGCAGATGATGGGCCATGATCGGCTTGTCAAATTATGCAAGGGTTATGGAAAGTCTACAAAATTCTGCTGAAGAGCAACAATACACTTTTTACAAGGACAGCTCAAGGCCCAACAAACAGGAACCAACCAACAATTCCAAACCAGGTGTCGGTGGATTTGTTTTAGTGCATGCAGGTAAGTTGTGTGGTGTCCGTTTACTTTTTGGTAAAAGAAATTGAAATGTTAGGTTAAGCGGTTTGCACATCTGTCTCACAGTTCTGAGGATCGAAGTTTGAATCTCAGTCGTGAGTTAGCATGTTCTCCCTGCGCTTGCATGGGGTTTCATTAGGTACTTTGGCTTCATCCCACATTCCAAATACATGCACGTTACATTAAATGAAGACTATAATTTTCTGTAAGTGTGATTCTAAGCGTTAATTGTTGTTTGTTAATATGTTCACCCTTGATTGTCTGGTGAGCAGTCAGGGTGTATGCCGCCTCCTGTCCAAATCAGCTCCACCTGACCCATAATTTTAATGGGAACAAGCGCTGTAGAAAATGCTGGAGAGATAGATTTGCGGTCAATCACGTTTGTTGTAATAGTCATAAACACTTCTCTTTCATTGGGGGCAAAATAGAGTTGAATCCTGAAGACTCTTTCGACATTCTGTTAATTGGTAAATTACTTTTATGTACAATTGCGCTCATGTCTTTTCAGGTGCAGGTTACCATTCGGAATCCAAGGCGAAGGAGTACAAGCATGTATGCAAAAGAGCTTGCCAGCAAGTAAGTCTATTCCTCTCAACATCCATCCATCCATCCATCCTTTTTCTAATCTGCTTATCCTCACGTGGGTAGTTGGCACACTGGAGCCTATCCCAGCAGTCTTTGGGCAGTAGGCGGGGTACACGCTGAACTGGTTGCCAGCCAATTCAATGTATCCTTATTTCCATAATTTCCTGGACAGAAAATGGCAACCTATCCAAAGTGGGCGTACTTTGAATTTTTTGAATAAAGCAACTTTTGAATCATTTTCTCACATTTGTTCCCAAACTTTTTTTTGCCTCCTGAAGATGTCACCCTCTTACTTTCAGTTAACATTACTTTTCAAATAATAAATTCAACCCCCACAACCTTAAACCAAACACCTACTTCCATCATCATCTTTCACTTTTGTCAACATGCAAAGTTTTTGACCTTTCCCCTTAATTTCTCGATGAAAAATGCATGAAGAATGAATGTTCAGACACAATCACTGGTGTACAAAATCGGTGGCACGTTATTTCACTTTGAATGTCACATATTTATAGTTAGTTTATAGTAGTGTTTTTAATTTGAACACGAAATATCAATCTCATATTTTACAAAGAGAGGTATGCCAGAACAATGTTACTGACAAGGTAACACTGTCTTATCATTTCAGGCTGTGGATCAGCTCAAAGCAGGGGCACTTGCAGTTGAAGCCGTGGCTGCCGCACTGGTTGAGCTTGAGGTTGGTTTGTAATAATTCAGCGTTTTAGTTTGTTCTGAAAATGGATGGATGGGTGGCATGTTTTTAATGCACTAACTGTTTTTATTTACTAATAAATGAGCATCCAACAACAAAAAACCCTCATTGCAAATAACTGCTAAGTTTAAATGACCACATATTATTTCTAAAATAGCCGTTTTGTTCTTAAATTTCCCATGCATGTGCATATATCCTGTTGCATGATAAAAGTTGCTCAGGCAAGGGATGGAAAAAAGAAAATTGAATTTCATGATCTCTGCAGCCGCAAGAAGGTACCCTTACCTAAATGCTTTGTCCTAAGTCTTTTATTTGAAGTTTGTTACAAAAGACTGCAAATACATCAGCCATGGCCTAACATTCTGCTTGTTAGTCAATCAACGATAAATTCATGAAAAGTTCTTTAAAAAAAAATACTCCAAAGAAAGTTGTGAGAAAATCCAACTATTTTTCTCATTCACCATGAAGAAAATCATAAACTATGAGCAATGGAACAAGCCAAAACGGCCACTGATCCTTGAGATTATATCATTAAAACATTGTCAATGCATCCTGGTCGAATACAATTAGCATATTCTATGTGTTCCCAGGACTCTCCTTTTACAAATGCAGGTATGGGCTCCAACATAAATTTGTCCGGGGAAATAGAGTGTGATGCCAGTCTCATGGATGGGAAATCACTGCATTATGGAGCTGTAGGTGCTATTAGTGGTAGGTACCTTCTCAATAGAATATATTGAATGCTCACTTATATTACTTCCTCTAGGGGGCTGCATTCAATATTGTCATACAAGTTGTAAGAGTATGACCAGATAGTTTTGCAAACATGAGTTTGGATAAAATCATTGATTCAATTTACATACCGTCTTTCCAGGCATTAAAAACCCTGTCTTAGTTGCAAATCGACTGCTGAGCGAAGCACAGAAAGGAAAACTTTCAGCCGGCAGAATACCCCCCTGGTGAATATCATAATCCTCAATTACTTTGTCACCATTGTGACGATATTGCATTTGTACTTTTTGGTCAGTATCAATGATTTCTTTGCCAGCTTTTTAGTGGGACGGGGCGCACACGACTGGGCCATTAGCCATGGTGTCCCACCCTGCCCGTCAGAGAAAATGGCCACTAGTGAGTATTTTTCCACTGCTTTTCAAGCAGTGTTCTCGCCCGAAATGAAGGTTACTCTGGATTCCACACAGATGAATCTGGATGTGTGATTGCAGACAAATCAGAGTATTTATTTACTTATTTTTAAATTGCACACAGAGTTCAGTTTATCTGCATATAAGCGGAACAAAAGAAAGATGGAGCTGGCTGAGAAAATGGA